TCAGAATAGGTATACATTTTCAACGTTGTTAAGAAGCTTCCCCTCTGGTCCTTATTCTTTACTCTGTGTCTTGACCTTGTACTTTCGAATAGCTGCACAATTTCTTTGACAGCTCAGTATCCGACCTTTGATGACGCCGACAACAAGACGCCGCGCACTATCAAAGTGCCGATGGTCAAAACTAGGGATGCACTCTTTTTTCTTTTAAGGCCGGCCACATACATACGAAATTCCGTTTCGTGATTCCGTTTCGGAATCCCGGATCGGGATACCGTGAATCCATCACACACACACGTTTTTTTTCCGTTCGGAATAACAAGGGTCGGTTGAGAGACGTTAGCCATTGAGTCTAGACATTCTGCCAGCGAATAATGACGATGATTTTCTAATTGCGATTCCATTGTTGCTGTATCATTCTTACTAGGTGCATCCCCTTATCACCCTAAGCTTGCAATATAGTCAATATATACTATGTAAAAAGATCTATCTATCCAGAGATATTTTTAAAATATTTATGTATGTAAATTTTTTCGACGAATTATTAAATAAAATAAGATGAAAGGCTACGAAAAGCTATACACCTACAAGATTAAATGTAAAAACGTACATAAATACACCTACTCGCTTCGGTCGTGCGACGAACACTGAGCGGAGCGCATTCCGTACGGAATTTACGTATGTGTGTTGCGACTCGTACAAAATCTATGGAAGACGTGCGTTCGGAGCAGCTTTTTTCCGTTCGGGATCCCGAACGTACAGACGGTCATACTGAATCTCGAATCGGAGAAATTCCGTACGGAAAAATAACGTACGTGTGTGGCGGGTCATAGATTTTATATGGACTTGCTGCGTTCGGAATCCCGAATCGGAATATCGAAACGGAATCTCGAAACGGAATTCCGTATGTATGTGGCCGGCCTTATGGATATTTTCATTCTCTATGTATGTTTATGGTATTGTTCGTAATGCGCATAAGTCCAATTTTCCAATATTTTTTTTCCATTATATTTTTTGTGTCTCATAGAGTCCCTAAGCTTATACCCGAACTCCTATACTCCCTGAAACGACACTTAGTCCTAACTGCAAGACGCAAGAGTCTCGCAAGCTTAGTCTTGTTCTTGCACAAATCTTGCACGGTCAGTCTTGGTCTTGGTCTTACTAAAAAGAGGCGGTCTTGTTCTTGGTCTTGTTCTTGCATTTTTGCACTGCAAGACCAAGACCGATTTTGGGCAACACTAGTCACACTACTGTGATATGGCAATAATTAGGGCCATAATTAAAACAACCATAAGTATAGCCACGATCTATGGCCATAATTTTACAATGTTAATCAACACGTGGTGGCGGTCTTTTTCGCATATCAAAGACAATTACCGTGGTAATTTTTGCGTCAAGTGGCCACACTACAGTTTGATCAGTGTGCTCAATAGAAACGAACGGCTTTCTGTGTTTTTTTCTCATCCACCATCTTCTTTTAAGTCTTGTTTTATCTTTTTTTAAATGTAAAAGATTCATGTAAGTTTCAACATGACATTTTTTCCGCCTATTTCAATGTCATACTAGGTAAACTTTAGTGCAACCACACTACTTCACTCGGCAGTTTAGTATAGTTATTGCGGTAAAGGGGCGGTAGACGGTAAGGTAGTGTGGTCGTAGCATTAGAGGTGACAGAGGGATACCAGGAGATGGACAGCAGTTTCAATATACTTATGAAAAGTGTTTTGCTAACTTTAAAAGTCGAAAAATGGAGGTTAAGGGTGGGTGAGCTAGCGATCAAATACATCTTGTACGCCGAAGATTAAGTCATATTTGCGTTGTCGGCTGATGAGATCCAACTGATGGTTACTTTAATGAACATAAAACTATTGGAAAGGGGAGTGAAAGTTTACGCATGAATGTGACTAAAGTGATGGTTTTTAAAAAAGATAGTAAAACGATGTGTGTGCAATAAGAACTGAAGGCAAGTTGGTTGAGCGGTAGATGAGTTTGTGTATTTAACAGGAATAGTAGACATGACAAGGAAAAACAGGATAAAACTTCTGTTTTATCCTGTTTTACCCATTTGCTCTGTTCTCAGAGCAAATGGGTCTCTTAACTCAGTCAGAATGTGTCAAAAATACACTATGGTAATTCACAATGTGTTAGCCATCTTAATGTATAGTAGTTAAAGTTGTGACGTAAAAAGCATGAGATAAAAATTAATTGTGAGACATTGTATGATAAGACAAAAGGGTGGTGCGAAGAAGATGTTGTGACCAGGATTAAGAAAAAATGCTTCATTTGTTTAGATACGTACAAAATACGAGTGAGGAAAGTGTGACAAAGTAAATTTATGTTGCCGAAGTGAGTGGCAGAATTGGAAAGGGACACAATAGGCGCAAGTTTATCGAACAAATTGGCGATGTAGTGAAGATGAGCCGAATGAAGACGATCTAGTGAAGCACTTAACCGACGATCATGTATGCGTAGATATATAAATGTGAAACAAGCGTGAAAGGTAGTTAGGATCGTGCCAAGTGGAAGTACATAATCTCTGTCTATTCCTCTGGGCGTGAGAGTTTATAATTCCATGTTAATAATTCTTTTAATTTCTTTTCGACACAAATAACTAGGGCCTAAGGACATTAAACGCTTCATTTAATGAAGACATCTTAAAAATAAAAATAATTGCCAATTGGGAGTAGGACACGCATTAAGCTCAAGTACGGTTTCGTTGTTGGGAATCTAACGAAAGGAGTTTAACGAAATTTATCGCTACTAATTTTCAGATGTTTATAACCTTGGGCTTGGGAATAGAACATAAAAGGGGCGACTAAGGACGAATTGGGCGCAATTTTTTTTAATATAGATTTCCAAGAGGCTTTTATAAGTTAATAATCGTGACATTAATGATGTACTTATTCTATTTATTACTTGTTATTCTTAGTTTAAACTTAGTTCATACTAAAAAGCCAACTAAGGTTCAAGAAACAACTCATACAAATATTAGGTAGTCTTAATGTATTCCTAATACTGTCTTCGAGTTATATTAAAATAAATATATCGTAAGAGTGGATGTTTCAATTTGCTCTCTTACTTACGCAATTAATCATTAAACGATTGAATAGTGTATCGCACTACACATTCCGCGTAGTACAATTAGCGAATCGACCATACGTGCTCGTTACACACAAGTTATTGTATGATATAACCAGAATGGAAAAGTATGCAAACCAACAGCAACAATGCATATCACGATGTATCGCTATCACTGGTCTGCTTCACCGCAGAATACTCTTATATGCTTTCCGAATAACCACAAATAAAATTGATTCTGCCTCAGTATCCCTCTGTCGCCTCTTACGACACCCACGGGAAGATATGGAGTAGTGGGTATTCTTGCCCGCAACTACCCATCATTATATGACAAAAAAACTTAAATAAAAAAAAAACTCGAAATATAAAACGCTGGTGATCTTCAAACGGGTGAAAAGATTTTCTTGAAACATAGCTCAGAACACTCTCGAGTAAGATACCTTTCAAACAAAAAATACTTAATCATCTATAATATAAAAATGAATCGCTGAATGTGTTGCTAAGCGCAAATCTCGAGAGCAGCTGAACCGATTTCGCTAATTCTTTTTTTTAAATATTCCTTGAAGTACGAAGATGGTTCTTATGGAGAGAAAAATTTAAAAAATTGCCTGAAAAAGTCTAAAAACAACACTTTTCTATATTCCCATACAAAAGATTCGTAATAATACTTAAAAGTCAATTTGAACTTTAATACCATACCATAAAGTTTAAGTGTTAGTGGAGGGGTTCCGAGAAGGCAACACAATTGAGTGACGTTAGTATCGTATAAATATTAATGTCAATATTTGTCAATAGTGTTTCATAATTTTTATTTTTTCATCATCATCATCATCATCATTACAGCCCTTCACAAGTCCACTGCTGAACATAGGCCTCCCCCAAAGAATGCCACAAAGCACGGTCCTGAGCCACCTGCATCCATCGACTTCCTGCATATCTTACCAGGTCGTCACTCCATCTAGTGGGGGGACGCCCTACACTTCGCCTGCCGGTACGAGGCTGCCACTCGAGAACCTTTCTTCCCCATCGGTTGTCGGTTCTTCGAGCTATATGGCCGGCCCATTGCCACTTCAGCTTACTAATCCGTTGGGCTATGTCGGTCACTCTAGTTCTACTGCGGATATCCTCATTACTGAGTTTATCACGCAGAGAAACTCCGAGCATAGCCCTCTCCATAGCTCGCTGAGCGACCTTGAGCTTCCTCATCCGGCCAGCAGTGAAGGACCACGTCTCAGTTCCGTATGTCATCACTGGCAACACGCACTGGGTGTACAGTCTCGTTTTCAAGTTTTGAGGTATACCTGATAATAATTAAATAATTTTATTTTTTGATATAATGTAATTATAGACTTATCAACCTTCTTTTTTCTTTTATCTCACTAGCTGCCCGGGTGCCCCAAATAGCAGAATAAGTATTAAAAAAAATTAAAGAATCGATTGTTAGACGGTACGAAGTTCGCCGGGTCAGCTAGTAATTTATAATTATTTTTTTTTACAACCGACTTCAATATAAATTATTAAGAATTAAGAATAACTCAAAAACTATTGGTCAGACCTTTATCAAATTTCTATGGGACCACATGAGAAGCACCAGTAGTGTGTTCTGTGGTAGAGGCCCATGTTCAGCAGTTATCAAACTATTACGGGCTGAAGAAGCAGAAAAAGAAAAAGAATAACTGATAAAAATTACAGATAATACAGTATGGGTGCGCACTTGAACCTCAGTATTTTACTGAACTCTTTAAAATATGAGCGGTGAACACTTGTACTTGTATATTGTAAAAATGTTATTTAGATTGAAATGGCGCTTAGGGGAAATTCGAAGTTGAAGTATAAAATAGTCATGAAATATAAAATATTTTGTTTGCATAATTCAATTTTTTTTTTATATATTTACGTAAAGCTTACCTTGTTGTCATTCTTACCTGGTTGCAAGAAAAATGTCGGTATCCGAGTATTTCTGACTGCTATTCTTTCCGGGCCAATGATTATGTAGTCGTCGTTGTTAAAAGTACGCTGGCCAGTCCAAGTATAAGTAATGTTGCTCTCTACGTCTTCTGTAATATAATTGTAATTTAAAAAATTAAATTTTGATTTACTGCTTTAGTTGATCTTTTAAAATAGATAAATATGTAAACTACAAACAAACATTTTAAGTAAGTATTATATCGTTGTGTAGGTATGTTGAATTTTCTCGATGCTTTAAACCAGCATTAGTAGGGCGGAAAATTCTTTTATAGCCCTTCTCTTCTCAATTATGTGATCTGTGCCAAGCAATAATCTTATATAGGCTATAAATAAATGTTTAAAGGAAATATAATGATAAATGAGCGTTATTGTATTCATCAGTAAAATATTTTCTATATACCAGATTAATACCAAAATGTAAAATATGAAATGTAATAAAATAAATAAATAATATGTTTTATTAACACAAAAAAAGTTAACGTTTCGAATAAACTTAATTTTCTGTGCAGATGTTGTATGTTATATCTATCTATACAAATAAATAATATTGAAGAAGCGATCGAGCGGAACCAAGGCTCCAAAGTCTTTGCCAGAGATCTGTCTGCCAGAAAGAGCCAACTGTCAAAGCTGAAGACAGAATGTGGCAGCATCGTTTCCGGGACACCTGAGATTTTGAGTGAGATTGAGAGGTTCTATGGGCAATTGTACAAGTCATCGTTGGAGCCACACGCAAGTGTGAGTAACGATCCAAGAGCGAGTCTCATTCGACACTATTCCGAAGATATCCCGGACGTCAGTCTGAGCAAGATTAGAATGGCTCTCCAGCACCTTTAAAACGGTAAGGCCCCAGGCGAGGATGGAATTACAGCAGAGCTTCTGAAAGCGGGTGGAAAACCGGTACTTGAAGTCCTTCAGAAGCTCTTTAATTACGTCCTCCATGGTGGCATTACACCGGAGGCGTGGAGCAGAAGTGCGGTGGTCTTGTTCTTCAAGAAAGGTGACAACACTCTCTTGAAGAACTACAGACCGATTTCCCTTCTGAGCCGCGTCTACGTGCTGTTTTCGAGAGTCATTACGAATCGTCTCGCGCGCAGACTTGACGACTTCCAGCCTCCCGAACAAGCCGGTTTCCGAAAGGGCTTTAGCACCATAGACCACATACATACCCTTCGGCAAATTGTACAGAAGTCCGAAGAGTACAATTTGCCACTATGTCTGGCGTATGTGGACTATGAGAAAGCCTTTGATTCCGTCGAAATTTGGGCGGTGCTGCAGTCCCTTCAGCGGTGCCAAGTTGACTGTCGGTATATCGAAGTGTTGAAGTGCTTGTACAATAGGGCTACGATGGCTATCCGAGTACAGAACCAGAGTACGAAACCTATCCAATTGCAGAGAGGTGTAAGACAGGGTGATGTCATATCCCCGAAACTCTTCACCGCTGCATTGGAAGACGTTTTCAAGCTTCTAGAATGGAAAGGATACGGTATCAACATCAATGGCGAGTATGTACTGTATGTGATGTCACTCACCTTCGATTTGCCGACGATATAGTCCTTATGGCAGAATCGCTGGAGGACCTAAGCACTATGCTCAATGACCTCAATAGTGTTTCCCAACGGATAGGTCTTAAGATGAACATGGACAAAACAAAGATCATGTTTAATGTCCATGTCACACCTATGCCGGTAGTTGTTGGGAACACTAAGCTCGAAGTTGTTGACGAGTATGTTTACCTGGGACAAATAGTCCGACTAGGTAAGTCCAACTTCGACCGAGAGGTCAATCGACGGATTCAACTCGGCTGGGCAGCGTTCGGGAAGCTACGACACATCTTCTCGTCAGACATACCTCAAAACCTTAAAACGAAATTGTACAACCAGTGCGTGTTGCCAGTGATGACTTACGGATCTGAGACGTGGACCTTCACTGCTGGCCGTATGAGGACGCTCAAGGTCGCTCAGCGAGCTATGGAGAGGGTTATGCTCGGGGTTTCTCTGCGTGATAAACTTAGAAATGAGGATATCCGCAGTAGAACCAGAGTAACCGACATAGCCCAACGGATTAGTAAGCTGAAGTGGCAGTGGGCCGGCCATATAGCTCGAAGAACCGACAACCGATGGGGAAGAAAGGTTCTCGAGTGGCGGCCTCGTACCGGTAGGCGAAGTGTAGGGCGTCCCCCCACGAGATGGAGTGACGACCTGGTAAGACATGCAGGAAGTCGATGTATGCAGGTGGCTCAGGACCGTGCTTTGTGGCATTCTTTGGGGGAGGCCTATGTTCAGCAGTGGACTTGTGAAGGGCTGTAATGATGATAATGATGATGATACAAATAAATAAAATTAAAGTGTTTGTTTGATTATAAACAAAATAATTTGTAATGTCAAAATAACAGCTTTTTACTAAATGTACAGCACATGTAACAAAAACACTATTTTTAAAATTTTTGTCTGTCTGTCTGTCTGTCTGTTTGTTCCCGCTAATCTCCGAAACGACTGGACCGATTTTGACGGGACTTTCACTGGCAGATAGCTAATGTTATAAGGAGTAACTTAGGCTATTTTTATTTTAGAAAAATTATTAGGGTTCCGTGAAAAAAAAATCATAAAATCTAATCGTAATAAATTCCACGCGGGGGAAGTCGCGGATCACAGCTAGTAGTATATATATAATTTTTAGTTCATCCATCGATCCAGGTAACGGAAGGCACAACACAAGGCTCAGTTATTGGGCCTGCACTATTGCACCTAAGTAAACAGCCTCTTTTGATATAGTAAAACAGTCTGAGTTATATCAGTTTACAGATAATATCTGAATAGTAGCCGCTGGCCCTGTTGAAACTTAAAAAAATAGTTTGAAGTACAGAACACGACGTCAGGTAAACACTCTTTTAAAGAAGAGGGGGCGAACATTCGGCTTACCTGACAGTAAGTGTCGACCGCCGCCCATTAAAAAATTTAACTTCAAGGGAATTGCAGGCCAATTGCCAGCCTGTTGAAAAGAAGTAAGGAGTAAGCTCGTTTCTTGAAGGTCCCTAAGTATGTATCGGTCCAGAAAAATCGCCGGTGGCAGCTGATTCCACTAAGAAGTCGTGTAAGGAAGATGATTTCTTGTAAATTGCACAATGGGGAACCGCCAAGCATTTAGATGTTGCCGATGATATTATGGGCTTGGTCATGTTGTGTGATGGTGGTATTTTGCGGCTCCAATTCAACCAAACAATTCCTCTAAGAATCCTACGTACCACAAAACGTGGCGAATGCGACAAAAATGCAAAGAGGTTGCAATATCTCTTCGCAGCACTAGTGAATCGAGGCAGTCAGGAAGAACTCTGTGGTCGATAATTCGAGCCGCTCTCGACGAAGGGCTAAAGATGAGAACAGTATTCCATGCGAGACTTGCGCCTTGTAAAGTTGCAAGCGGTGTGAAATATTGTCTCAATCTAATGAGCTCACTAAGCTTTTTAGAGTCCAATTTGGCTTTCCCTTTAAAGTGACCTCGGAAGTGAATTTCATTCGATATGTCGACGCCAAGGATTCCCATGCTGGCTGAGACAATAAAGATAATGTCCTGAAATTGAGGAGATACGATAAAGGGGTTCTTTTTAACGGTAAACGTGCAAACCTGTATCTAAAATCGGTTAAACTGGTCTAGCTTTAGTTTTTCACTAACTGCAACGTTGTTTAACAAAGACTTGAATTCCACCAGTGCTGTCATCCTCATAGCAATGAATGTTACTGGTTTGCAACATATCATTGATATGCCGAAGGAGTACTGAAAAACGTGTCAGAACCGGTGCCTACTCCGGAGCATATACCTTGAGCAGAACGCGCAATCTGGAATGAAATACTAGCACTCACACTGTGGGATGTTGTGTTACCCCTGTCATCAAGAGTCGAGTTGGTCGCAAAGAGAAAGCCGAAAAGATTGGCTTTCTCCTTTGCTATATGAGCCAGTGAGACCTTAGTACCATAACCTTACTAAAAAAGGCCGGCATTCCGTCCGCCAATCTAATGTAGAACGTAACTGCAATATGAGCGTGAGTGACACCATACTCGTTATCAGTCAATGGTCCGAAGATAGATGCATCGACGGAGACCTGATGATACCCGTCCGGATGAGTGGTTAGCAAAGTGGTTAGCTTTCTGCCGTAGTGTCATGAAGTTATTTCTTTTTTGTAGTGAAATTACAGCCCTTTTCAGGCTTACCTACTCATAATTTTTTCTTTCAACATCGATCACGTGTTAAATCAGCACTTAAAATTGCCGGCAGGAATTGAAATCGATTTTCTCGCGTATTGTGAAAATTTAAGTCAAGCGCTTAATAATATCCTGAGGTACAAGCTACCACGGCTCACTGTGTCATTATTCCTAATGTAGGAACAATCATGTTACTCTATAATCATGTCTTATTAGTAAATTATTAGCGAATTTTTATAATAATATATGTTGACCGCGTAGTGGCTTTGTGAGAATATCCATCGTCCCATTAGTGTCGTAAGAGGCAAGAGGGGGAGAAAAACCAAGAGATGGGTAACAGCGTCTTTTTTATAGGATAAGAGTGACAAGCGAGCACACAGTCCACCTTATGGTAAGTGTTTGCTGTGACCCATAGACATCTACATCTATCCTCGTTCGCAAATAATATACAGATGCGTTGTCAGCCATGAGAACTAAGATGGAATGCCTCTTTACCAGTAAAAAGGGTCTCCGGTTCTCTATACTCACCAAATGAAATACAACAGCATTAAGCTGTTATTTTGCGCTGGTATTCTATGAGAGCGTGGTCTTTTCCCGGCTGAGCCGACCCATTTGTGCTACAATCATACTACTAATGTAGCTGTAGCATGGCTCTACCACGAATAAATCTTCTTAATAGCAACTAAAAATTAGAAGAAGAAACTGTGGTTTCCAGCCCGCCTGCTAAGCGTAAGAACTATGGCAAATATCTCCCCTAAGAGGCAATCTATGGGGAGGTCTATGTTTAGCGTTGGACTTTTGGTATCCTGTAATAGTAACGGTATGTATTCAACGTCATCAAATATGTTTTTTACACAGATATATTACTTCTCAAAAACAATTGCAACTTACACGTGCTTAGAGCATTAAAGTTTATTCGTATAAATTTAAATTAAACTAAAGCTTAATTAAGTTGGCTTATTAAGCTGGCCGGCTTATCTACCTGGCCATTTGAGATGAATGCTTTTTAATATGTAACTAATTGGTTTATTTAATTCGTCAAGGATTAATAGCAAATCAACATTAACATAAATTTAAAGAAAGATGGCCTGACCTTCTGATTGTAAATAGCTATAATTATAATTTAAATAAAAAGATGACCGGAACTTTGGACGGGAAATAGCTATAAAATGGTTTATTATTAAAAATGTATGTTGAAACTCGAGCATAAAGGATATACAAGGGTATAAAGTAAGAGCTGCTCTACTTTTGACCCAGAATCACAAAATTGTGTTCACTAAAACATAATAAGTGGCACGTGTAATTTTGTATTGCTAGGAGTAATTGTGCTACGCTGTTATTATAGTGTGCCTAGCAAGAGAATCCTAGGCTGATTAAAATTGTCGGGCATTGTATCCAATCTGATGAAAAGGAAAATATCACTATTATACGGTCGGTAATTAGTCTCTCAATCTCGTTGAGATTAAAGGTTTTTCTCTGAATGAATACATCGATTTCGACAAAATATTAATGTTGTATTTCATATACTTATTTAACAGCATTGTAATGATAATTTACAAATTTAAGAAGGCCGGATATTAATATAATTGAATGGAGAAGTAACTCAATAGAATTACTTATTGATTAGTCATTTTATTACGCTTATTAGCAAATTATAAATTTTAATTTTTGAATATATTCAAGGTGTTTTGAGCAGGTGAAATAGAATTTCAAGTTAAGGAACTTGTCTTCATGTTTAAGGAGAAGTTGTAATCCTTTTGTAATACAAAGTTATTAGGGCGTGCATCATTTCGAAAATTGATATACGTAATGCCTTAGAGCAGGTTAACTGAAGTTTGTTGAATCATGAAAAAGGGTGAATTTGGTTTTGTCTAACGAACACAGTTTGTTTAAAAGAGGCACTTGTTGGTATATGGAAAAAAAACTTACTATAATTTTAAGGTTTATAATAAAGGCGGAGTCGATGACTCGATGTTACAATGCCTATATACCTTGAAATATGTAATTTCAACTGCTTGGAAGCTCCATAGCTAAGAACTTGGCGGGCCTGAGTGGTGTTCCATATTATATGTAAATGCAATTTATGTATGTAAAACGCTTCTGCGATACAGGAAAACATCCTTTTGTGTTCTGTTGTCTTATTTCCTGAATTAAATTCAAAATTCTAAGTAACGTGTATACGGCATACAATTCGTCCCAGTTCATGAACGCAAGTAAAATCATTGCCATATCGGCTGACCGCTTAATGTGTTACTGCTAAAGCAGTATGTACTGTTTTGTTTATAAATTTGTATTTTTTGTCACTTTAATGCTGTATAGTAGTTATAGTCTAATAAAAGTGAAGGGTTTAGACGTATAGCCGACGAAAGAGGCGAAAATGGGAAAGACCAGAAAGAATATAATAGCGAAGGCAACAACGTCAAAATTACTATCTGCGAGACGTACGCATTCGTCATCTGCCAAGCGTGATAATTATGGCAAATTGCCTATATACACAACATTAATTATTAATAATTAAAAAGAAAATTATCGAGGAAACCTAAAAGATTCTAATCAAACTGTTACCTGATAGTAAATGCTGAAGGCCATAAACTTCAATATATATCCTCGATTAAAAATCAAAATACGGATGCGTTTTCAGCCTTGTGAACTAAAATGGAATGCCTCGTTTCCAGTAAAAAAGTTTCCGGTGCTCTACATTATCATACGAAACACAGCAGCATTAAGCTGCTATTTTACACTGGTATTGTGTGTGAGCACGTTCCTTCCCCATTGATGTTAGACGGGAAATGAAGCTGCAGTCTTCAGTAGATTTATTAGCATACAGGCAATTGAACAGACAGATCTCCAAATGTATGCGGCGGGAGTTCCGCGACTTTAATACTGCTCGTATTGAAGAAGCGATCGAGCGGAACCAGGGCTCCAAAGTCTTTGCTAGAGATCTGTCTGCCAGAAAGAGCCAAATGTTGAAGCTGAAGACCGAGTGCGGCAGCGTCGTTTACGAGAAACCTGAGATTTTGAGTGAGTACACATCATCGTTGGAACCACACGCAAGTGTAACAATACAAGAGCAAGTCTTATCCGACACTATTCCGATGATATTCTAGACGTCACTCTGAGCGAGATTAAAATGGCTCTCCGGCACCTTAAAAACGGCAAGGCCCCAGGCGAGGAAGGAACTACAGCGAAGCGTGTGGAACACCGGTACTTGAAGCCCTTTAGAAGCTCTTTAATTCCGTCATCTATGATAGCACTACACTGGAGGCGTAGAGCAGAAGTGCGGTGGTCTTTTTCTCTAAGAAAGGCGACAACGCTCTCTTGAAGAACTACAGACCGATTTCCCATCTGAGCCGCGTCTGCTTGTTGAATTTGAGAGTCATAACAAATCGTGTGGCATGCAGACTCGATGACTTCCAGTCTCCCGAACAAGCCAGTTTTCAAAAAGGCTTTAGCACCATAGACCACATACACACCCTTTGGCAGATTGTACAGAAGACCGAGGAGTACAATTTGCCACTATGTCTGGCATATGTGGACTATGAGGAAGCCTTTGATTCTGTCGAAAGTCGGGCGGTGCTGCAGTCCCTTCAGATGTGCGAAGTCTACTGTCGGTATATCGAAGTGCTGAAGTATTTGTTCATAGGGCTACGATGGCTATCAGAGTACAGAACCAATGTATCCTGTATACATATATATATATATATATATATATATATATATATATACGTTATATTCCCGAAATTCTTCACCGCTGCATTGGAAGACGTTTTTACGCTACTGGTCTGGAAATGATAAAGTATCATGGGGGTACGTCACACACCTTCGATTTGCCAACGATATAGTTATGGCAGGATCGCTGGAGGACTTGAGCACTATGCTCAATGACTTCGATTGTGTCACCCAACGGATAGGTCTTAAGATGAACATGGCCAAAACGAAGATCATGTGTAACGTCCATATCACATCTATGCCGATAGTTGTTGGGAGCACTAAGCTCGAAGTTGTTGACGAGTATGTTTACCTGGGACAAATAGTCCAACTAGGTAAGTCCAACTTCGACCGAGCGGTCAATTGACCGCTTGATTGGGAAATTAGCAACTTACCTCAAAACTTGAAAACTAGACTGTACAACCAGTGCGTGTTGCCAGTGATGACCTATGGAACTGAGAAGTGGTCCTTCACTGTTGGCCGTATGATGAAGCTCAAGGTACCGCTCAGCGAGCTATGGAGAGGGCTATACTCGGAGTTTCTCTGCGTGATAAACTTAGAAATGAGGATAGCCGCAGTGGAACCAGAGTGACTGACTTAGCCTAAAGGATTAGTGAGCTGAAGTGCCAATGGGCCGGCCATATAGCTCGAAGGACCGACAACCGATGGGCAAAAAAAAAGGTTCTCGAGTGGCGGCCTCGTACCGGTGGACGAAGTGTAGGGCGTTCCCCCCACTAGATGGAATGACGACCTTGTAAGACATGCAGGAGTTCGATGAATGCAGGTGGCTCAGGACCGTTTTTCGTGGCATTCCTTGGGAGATGCCACAAAACTCCATATGTTTCGCAGTGGACTTGTGATGGGCTGTAATGATGATGATGTTCCTTCCTCTATAGCTGCAGCATGACTCTACTAAGTAACCAGTGTATTGGTAAAACCATCCCTTTTATGTCAAACGTAACATCAAGCCGCCTGTTAAACGTGGCAAGCATGGCACATTTTCCCTGCGATGGGAGAAGCTAGTTACATATGTTTACCGATATCTTACATGGCGCCAGTAAGTCACCTACCGCTAAGCAAGTAACAGCACGACGTGCTAAGCCAAGCTGCCGTTCATATGCCGCTGTGGCTCATGTCTAGCAGTATACTTTTAAAGTGTGATAGAAAAGAAGAAATAAATATTAAAATATATAATATGAACTATGAGTTTAATTTTATTACATTAATTACTATTTAGTCTTTACTATACTATACTATAAGTCGTTGTATAAATAAAATAATGGCGTAAACATAAAAGTAAAAATAGAGACATAATATATAAGTTTGTACTTACGCATATCCATTGTTATATAAGCTATAAAAGGGTTCGTGCTCTGCGCCATACTCATTGTTAGCTCGCCCGTAACATGAAGATCGCTGAGAAATCTGACTCCACTTTTACCGCCTTCCAGATTGAATCTGATAAGAACAAACACAAAGACGATCATCAGTGGCTTCCGTAATGGATATTTAACTCCCCGAGGATTGTAGATAAGATTTTACAAGCAAAAGCTCCTTCCGAAATTAGCCAAAGTACATAAATCTAGCTGATGGGGGAACTTTTTATAGTTTAAATTATTCTTTTACAGTAGTTAATGGTTAAATGTTGTTTAAAAATTTCGTTTTAGAAAATATTTTTATAGATATTTAAAGTATAATCATCCTATAAGATTTTAAAACACAGCGGTAGTTTAGTTTTCTGCCTTTAAAAAATATTTTTTTTAATGAGCGGTCGTTAGGAAGTGGATCTAATTTCCGCACCAGTTTTTATAAGGCTTATAAAAATATTTTTTAGGATCATTCGCAATTTATGTAAGTTTATAATAAAAAGTAAAAGCCGACTTCAAACAACTAGAATAAAATAATTTCTGCATAATAGCATCAGAATTCTAGTATTGAAGTATTAAAGCCCCGACGTCTAAAGTTTTTGCACGGATTATTTAATTTTGTTCAGTTTCTTGAAGTCGGATTTTACTTTTTTTATTTAAATTTATAACTACTTTAATTTTTATCAACAATCTTAATATTCTGACCCTTTTAAGTGGACTAAGGAATATCAAGCTTACTGCTGCAGTGGTAGCGCTTGCTGTAAATTTCACAGTACGCGAGCAACTAGGGTTCGATTCCCGTGAGCACCAATGAATTTGTTAATTACAACTTTAAGTGTTCTATGTTTAAGTGCTGTTTTAAGTGTAATCTTATCTGTATGAGGGCGACTAGAGCGAGCTGCATCTTTGATATCAAAATTCCCGCACTGAAAACGCTTGAACCAACTTTGTGCTACTCTTACTGACACTGCATTAAGTCCATAAACGTCACAATTTTTTTTTCGCCTTATATGTAATACAACTTCAAAATGTATTGAAAAATGGCGGGAAAGTGTTTTTTACTTTATATTTTTTTTCTTTAACTTTTAAGAATGTCATCTAAATTGTTAGGTCCATTAAACATTTCATACCCTATTTATCCCACTCTTAGGGGTGGAATTTCTCTCAAAATTTATATGGAACCAGCCCTGAAGTATAACCTATTTAATTATAAAGAAATCGTTAAAATTGGTCCATAACTTATGAACATATCGAGTAGCATACTTACAAATATGCTACTCGATATCTTATACGACTCTCCTTTTTTTGAAGTCAAATAATAAAGGATAACGTCCTAGTCAACTATAGGATAGAAAAAAATACTTCTACTCCGTATTCACTTGACTACGGGTAAACTTGGGCCAATAAATTAGAGAAAGCCAACCGCTAGCCTTTGCGAATTTCATTGTGAACTTTTGTATTCAGTACGATGTGCATGTTACTTATATGGCATCCAAAACAAGTGAAAAATAAACTAATATAAGTCAAATTAATTTAAAAACATTAGATATTAGATCATTATGATTTCCTACGTTTACGCGAACACTACACATTTAAGTGAAACACATTTTTACCGATTTTATCGCGCAAATCAACTTATTAGGTCAATACCATTACAGTTTATCAAACCGTTACCGCAATTTATTATTTTTTTGCTGTTATTAGGAAGTCGCTGCTGCCCATCTCCTGGTTTGTTTCCCTCCATCGCCTCTTACGACACCCATGGGACGATATGGGGTAGTGAAAATTCTTACAGCGCCACTACACGGTAGTTTTAGTACATTCAAAGGCAATTAGTCAATTAGATCATTAAAAAGTTTTTTTTTTTGCATATAAAAGCATCGTAATGCCAAACGCAATGGTATTGTTGTTATAGGAACTGCGGAATATAGTAATATATTTTTGTAATAAATAATGCCATCAAAATATAACTTGTAAAAAAACCAAGTCCCGCAACTCAGTTCTTCTACCGTAAAAAGTTGTGAGATCCATGTAATACAAAGTCGGTTAATTTATTCAGTCGCTTCTTAAGGGTCCTTCTGTCTCAAGTTATTACGTAATTAGCTAACCTAACAACATCTTATAGTGACCATATAAATATTAAAAATCTTTTATGTTTTAAATAAATAGATTGACTTGGCCATCGCATGAAAACACAATGTATCTCACAAGTCACAAGTAATACATATTATATTAAATTAGATTGTTTAATCCTATATATTTATATAAGATTACAAAGTTCTTAATGCAGTTAGTGTATCCAGAAAACTGGACCGAAATTATAAAATATTTTAGTTTTTTTTTTATTTATACACTAAACACTAATTGTATTCTAAATTTGAAGCTTCTACGTCTGCTAGAAGAACCTTAGAGTTTTGATGATCGGTCAGTCAGTGAGTGAGTGATAAAATTAAGAAACTTTGACTAGTTATAATTCTTAAACTACTAGTTCAAATTGAATGAAATTTGAAATATACCGTGTTTATACAATGCATGCTTGGTTGTTTTTACAATGCATGCTTGGTAACTGAAAATTAAGGCTTATAGTTTTATCCACAACGAAGTTATAGAGGGTCGAAAATGGCCAGAACTGATTGAGAAAAGGATTGTACGGCCGTGCCGCTTTTTTGCTCGACTTGGCGGGGGCACTACCATGTCCAGATACATTTTGTTTAGAACTTCTTCCCCAGGTTTTTTATTACAGATTTCTCTGATCCATTTCCAATTTTCATAGAATTTACATCTTTACATATTATACACATTACGTGTCACATTGTTTGTTCGCGATAAACTCCTAAACTACTGAACGCATACTGTCTGCAGTTTGGTCCAAATTGAGAGTTAGGATAGTTTTTATCCCGATAAGTGACCGAGTTTTTCATTCGTGATAAAAATAAAAATTTAAGGTTTTTTTATAGGACATAGGGTCATCGGAGAGGGTAGAACAACGTCTGCTTGGCCAGCTAGTTACAAAATAATAAATCAAATAAGATCAGTTTTAGGACTCCATACCCAAAGCGTAAAATGGATTCCTGCAAATGTTACTCTGCTGTCTATCTGACTGTCTGTCTGTGTCTGTGCCTACTTGATGTAAAAAAAGATAGAAGTAGTTTGTAAGTAAGCAGTGACTAAACAATTAGATATTGTTTTAGGATTTTATCTTTAACGGCTTGGTATTTACCTTGGAAACTATATTATATTTAAGTAATATAATAGGATTCCGTATATATTGTATACCGAACCCTAATACCCCTTGACCCAACTTTGTGCTACTCTTACTGACACTGCATTAAGTCCATAAACGTCACAATTTATTTCGCGGCTTGAATTGCATTTTTCCATTATATGTAATACAACTTCAGAATGTATTGAAAAATGGCGGAAAAGTGTTTTTTACTTGTTATTTTTATTTTTCTTGATATCCTGTATGTATTGATATTAAAACCAGCCAGATACAAACTGTACAACCAAATTGATTTTTCTTCAATTTTATACAAACAAAATACGAATAAAATTTTTCCACGACCTATTACAATAAAAATTAAATAGCCATATTTTAATAAATATTTTTTTGTTCGCTTGAGAAGCTTTTGTTTAGCACTAGAATGTTTACAGCTGTTGATGATTTATCCAATAAAGTTTTTTTTAGATATATATACACGAATTGTTGTTGGTTTTGGGTCAGTAAGTGCTGTGATTATCCTTGTATTCTAGACACACTGCAGCTATTCCTTTCATCAATTATAGGTATAAATATTACATAGAATAAAATGATGACGCATAAAATATGAAATTATAATTTTTTACGTTATAAATTCAAAATAATTAAGAATATATAACCATCAGTGTTTGCGCATAAGAATTAATTTCTCCCGGTTTTGATTGAATTCAATTCCAAACGTTTCGAGTGCTTTGCAGCACCCACGGTCGAAGGAGATTATTACTTAAGAAAAATTTCATTAACTTTTTTTCAGAATGATTAATAGAATTAGACCGTGAAATTACAAGAAGCGTAATATTTTAAATAAGATTTCTAACTTCTCCAAACGAGCACTGATAAAATAAATTATTTTGCTTAAGGGACAGAAAACTGAATTAAATATTCAAAACACCCTGAGCTGAAATACACTTCTATTAAGATTTTTCCCGGACCGGAAATTTTCCCCACACCAGTGTCAATGTCCATTTTGTACCGTGATTTTGTGTGAAGCAGGAAGGGATTGAAATAAAACGCCTTTGCAAGTCTAAAAGTGAAAAAAGTTGCTTCTCTTTATAATTCAATTTTTTTATATATTTTTTTTATAGGATAGGGTTACAAACGAGTACAAAGCCCACCTGATGGTAAGTGGTTGCTGTGGCCCATAGACATCTACATCTATCCTCGTTTGCGAATCAAAAAGCAGATGCGTTGTCACCCGTGAGGACTAAGATGGAATGCCTCTTTCCAGTAAAATGGATCTCCGGTTCTCTGCACTCGCCATACGAAACACAGCAGTGTTAAGCTGCTATTTTACGCTGGTATTCTGTGAGAGCGTGGTCGTTCCCCGGTCGAGCCGACCAATTCGTGCTACAACTATACCAGCATGGCTCTACCACGTAATTTTTTTTATCTTGACTAACTTTAACCACAGTTACACGATACAGACCCATAATACTTTCTGATGCTCAAATAGGCGCAAATAAAGAGGTCTGCACCATGTAGTTGCCGTGTGAGAATATTTACTACCCTATTTCTTCCCGTGGGTGACGTAAGAGTCGAAAAAGGGAAACTGAATCAGGAGATAGACAGCAACATCTTACTCGCAACAACTCAAAACAATTAAAATCTGTGGTTGACAACCCGCGGACCAAGTGTGGCAACTATGGAAAAATCCCCTATGAGGAAATTTATGGGTGAGACCTATATTCAGCAGTGGACTTTTATAGGCTGTAATGGATGGGTGGATCGATGGAAAGATGCCTTAACTTTTCCGAACCTACACGCATCCGATGTAGATATTGCGTTATGATAAAAAAAGTTTATACCGTATGATGGAAGGTAGGTTCATCAATCATGAAGTATCAGAGACACGACTACAGTAGCAATACTTACAAAATCAAAAATCTACAATTTGTTATGTTTGAATAAATAATGGCATGGCAATATAGTAGCTATGGAATATGATTACAAGAAGAGAAATTAAGATTTTTCTACTACGGGTTTATCTTATTGTAAAAAAACTGTACGAAATAAAAAAAATCAACGGTTTGAAGATTTACAACCACATAAGTAATTTTACTAGCGAATTCTAAATTGTTTAGTTTACTATCGTTTGGTAAACCCGTTAGATAGAAGAGTTATGTTTCACCAAACATTATTACAAATACAATAGACTGGCGATGAGTATTATCATTGTATTATTACTACATTACCAGTGTGAAAGCATCGATTCTGTCCTAACCAACTCACCAGCGCAGCGGTTTGTATTGGTAAATTTTTTTAAAATAAATTTTACTTATTTGCGGACGGTGCTTGACGATTATCAAACTAATGGATGTTTTTTAACAAAACAAAACCTCACTCTAGGATTGTCTTCTGAAATCCTAGAGACGTATTATTTGCATAAAGTGCACAAGGGCACACGTCTTGGGTTCGGACAATTATTTGTAAACCAACAATTGATCCGTGCGGGATTCATACTCGAATCCCCGTAGCACCATAGCTAAGCACTATTAATAATAATGATTTTATAATAATGCCTTTAAGACAGACATCTATATTGTTGTATTGTTATACATATTATACAGTAGGGTATTCTTGGCGGCCTATATCCTCATTGGATTAGGGAGGCTATTACCACTATACCACTTTCTTATCGATTCCTGCCACAGGGCGTGAACCCACTAGTGCATTTCGATTTGAACGTTAAGAAAGCCATTATAACTTGCAGGCTGTAAGGCATTTCTATTTTAGCACCTAAGGGTGACAGTGCATTTGAGTTCTTTGTATGAATAGGTTGCAGGTGTTCATGTGGTAGCCACGTATTATCAGATAGGCTGCTAGCTCATCTGTCACTCTAATATTATATTAAAGTAAAACTCGTGTTTGAACTTGACCTCATCATCATCATCATCATCATTACAGCCCTTCACAAGTCCACTGCTGAACATAGGCCTCCCCCAAAGAATGCCACAAAGCACGGTCCTGAGCCACCTGCATCCATCGACTTCCTGCATATCTTACCAGGTCGTCACTCCATCTAGTGGGGGGACGCCCTACACTTCGCCTGCCGGTACGAGGCTGCCACTCGAGAACCTTTCTTCCCCATCGGTTGTCGGTTCTTCGAGCTATATGGCCGGCCCATTGCCACTTCAGCTTACTAATCCGTTGGGCTATGTCGGTCACTCTGGTTCTACTGCGGATATCCTCATTTCTGAGTTTATCACGCAGAGAAACTCCGAGCATAGCCCTCTCCATAGCTCGCTGAGCGACCTTGAGCTTCCTCATCCGGCCAGCAGTGAAGGACCACGTCTCAGTTCCGTATGTCATCACTGGCAACACGCACTGGGTGTACAGTCTCGTTTTCAAGTTTTGAGGTATACCTGACGAGAAGATGTGCCGTAATTTCCCGAACGCTGCCCAACCGAGTTGAATCCGCCGATTGACCTCTCGGTCGAAGTTGGACTTACCTAGTCGAACTATTTGTCCCAGGTAAACATACTCGTCAACAACTTCGAGCTTAGTGTTCCCAACAACTACCGGCATAGGTGTGACATGGACATTAAACATGATCTTTGTTTTGTCCATGTTCATCTTAAGACCTATCCGTTGGGAAACACTATTGAGGTCATTGAGCATAGTGCTTAAGTCCTCCAGCGATTCTGCCATAAGGACTATATCGTCGGCAAATCGAAGGTGAGTGATGTACTCGCCATTGATGTTGATACCGTATCCTTTCCAGTCCAGAAGCTTGAAAACATCTTCCAATGCAGCGGTAAAGAGTTTCGGGGATATGACGTCACCCTGTCTTACACCTCTCTGCAATTGGATAGGTTTCGTACTCTGGTTCTGTACTCGGATAGCCATCGTAGCCCTACTGTACAAGCACTTCAACACATCGATATACCGACAGTCAACTTGGCATCGCTGAAGGGACTGCAGCACCGCCCAAATTTCGACGGAATCAAAGGCTTTCTCATAGTCCACATACGCCAGACATAGTGGCAAATTGTACTCCTCGGACTTCTGTACAATTTGCCGAAGGGTATGTATGTGGTCTATGGTGCTAAAGCCTTTTCGGAAACCGGCTTGTTCGGGAGGCTGGAAGTCGTCAAGTCTGCGCGCGAGACGATTCGTAATGACTCTCGAAAACAGCACGTAGACGCGGCTCAGAAGGGAAATCGGTCTGTAGTTCTTCAAGAGAGCGTTGTCGCCTTTCTTGAAGAACAAGACCACCGCACTTCTGCTCCACGCCTCCGGTGTAATGCCACCATGGAGGACGGAATTAAAGAGCTTCTGAAGGACTTCAAGTACCGGTTTTCCACCCGCTTTCAGAAGCTCCGCTGTAATTCCATCCTGGCCTGGGGCCTTGCCGTTTTTAAGGTGCTGGAGAGCCATTCTAATCTCGCTCAGACTGACGTCCGGGATATCATCGGAATAATGTCTGATAAGACTCGCTCTTTGATCGTTACTCACACTTGCGTGTGGCTCCAACGATGACGTGTACAGCTGCCCATAGAACCTCTCAATCTCACTCAAAATCTCAGGTGCCCCGGAAACGATGCTGCCACATTCGGTCTTCAGCTTTGACAGTTGGCTCTTTCTGGCAGACAGATCTCTGGCAAAGACTTTGGAGCCTTGGTTCCGCTCGATCGCTTCTTCAATACGAGCTGTATTGAAGTTGCGTAAGTCCCGCCGCATGCATTTGGAGATCTGTCTGTTCAGTTGCCTGTATGCTGTCAAATCTGTTGAAGAATGTAGCTTCATCTCCCGTCTAACAGCCATGAGATTAAGAGTGTGATCGGAGAGTTTTTGTGTTCTTCTGCGGCGGGTCTTGCAGAACTTAGCTCCGGCCGCATGGACAGTTTCCACGAGCTTGTCATTCAAATCGTCCACTTCATTGCAGTCTTCTAGGCACTGAAAACGGTTTTGCAACTCGAGCTGAAAGGTTTCGGGACTTTGGATTAGAGCACGAGGGGGACGGAGCGTTGACTTCATTAGACGAGACCTCTCCAACTTAACGTTTAGGTTCAGTGTGCCTCTAACCATTCGGTGATCGCTGCCGGTTTTCACCCTCGCGATCACTGAGACATCACTGAACAGTTGTCGTCTGGTCGTCATAATGAAGTCAATCTCATTTTTTGTCGAACCGTCGGGGCTCGACCAGGTCCACTTCCTGTGGGGCCGCTTATGGAAGAAAGAGTTCATCATAAAGAGTCCCTCTTTCTCCATGAAGTCGGCCAACTGCTGGCCCCTTGGGTTCCGTTGCCCTATTCCAAATTTCCCCACTTTCAGCTCACCGTTCACTCTTGTGCCTAGTTTTGCATTGAAGTCTCCCATTAACACCGTATATTGGGTTTTGGAGGAATGCATGGCTCTAGAGATATCCTCATACATTTCCTCCACCTCCTGATCGGGGTGTGCCGAGGTTGGTGCGTAAACCTGTATGACCTTCAGCGAATACCGTTTGGTGATTCTGAGTATAAGGTACGCAACCCTCGTCGACACACTCTCAATCTTTACAACGTTGTTAACGAGAGACTTGTGGACGATAAATCCGACACCTCCTTGGGACAGATGGTCGCCCTCCCGGTAATAGAGCAAGTTGCCGGATTCGAGGATTACCGTGTCCTCACCCTCTCTTCGGACTTCGGATAATCCTATAATATGCCAGCGTAACTTGTCTATCTCTTCTTCCAGCTCCACAATCTTCTCGTCAGTCCTCAGGGTGCGTGCGTTGTATGTTGCCAGGTCGAGTCGTTGTAGGTGGCAACCGAACCTCCACCGGAGATTCTTAGCACCCCCTGCCCCGCCGTTACCATGGTCGCCACCGTAGCCAGGAATAGCGGGGCCGCCGGGGACTGGGGGCCGTCTGTTTGTTGCTTTATTCATTGGGGGGTATATTGCCATAGTTGCCACGCTTGGCGAGCGGGTTGGCAACCGCAGTTTTTTATTGTATTTTGCCGTTACCAGGAAGATGCTGCTGCCCATCTCCTGCCTGTTTCCCTTTGTCGCCTTTTACGACACCCACGGGAAGATATGGGGTAGTGGATATTCTTAACCGCCACTACACGGCAGAACTTGACCTCAAGTATAGTAAAATTTTGTAGCTAATATAATCGTAAATATCTAGTTCAGTGTCGAGTATTTTCACTGCAAGATTTATGGTAGCATATCCTGGATATCTCAGGCTTGTGTCTTTTACAGTTTTAAGAACTTGAAAGAGTATACCAGATAATTATGTTGTGTAGCGTTGATAATGGAGTAAAATAATGAAAAATGAGGAGTAAAATAAATTAATAAATACCTTCTTTCGGCTAATCTCGTCCACCTTGCGCCGGTAACATTAACTTTCCTCAGTAGAAATGAAACTTGTTGTTCAGGCATTGCTACAACTATGCTGTTGATTTGCATAGGATCAACTGGTTTCATCCCCAAGTGTCCAGAGTCCATGAGGAAAAAGAAAGTGCGCAAGCCGCGTCGGAGACAAGCAATATCGACAGCTCTGCATGGCGGGAACGGTAGAGGTGCAGGGGCTGCATAAAACACAAATTCGTACGTGTTACAATTGCATATCTCGCAAACAGTAGGCGCCCGGACAATGACACCGCTCATAATAGAAAAGGTTTACTGCGATTGCCACGTTCAAAGGTCTTGCAATTTTGAAACTGCATCTCATTACAGTTCTTCAGTTCTCAGGCATTTTACATCAGGTGTAAATATAATATGTTGGTTTAAATTATTGGCTACCGGAGCTAACATTTGAATACAAACTGAAATTGTTAAATTGTGTTCTGAGTTAATAATGATTTTTTTTACTGGGTATTCATCTTGACTCCAACCTAAATTGGCAATATCATATTATAAATGCAGTGTCAGCATAAATTTACAAAATAGTTTGGGTATTTAGTAAATTACGACGGATTACATACAACAATCCTTTAAAAACTTTACCTTATGCCAATCTATACTAACTAGGTCTGTGTAGGAGCCTCTAAAAATGATTATCCCAGTAGAAAGAGGTCAAAGATCGATCATCAAGGTACACCTATAAATCATTTCGCTTTCCTACTAAATATCTTTAATCTGATTGTCAATTAATAACAGTTCGTCAACTTTTTGTAGCAAGTAGTAGGCAACATAAATCTGTTCTATTTGATCCGAAACTATAAAATAAAAGAAGAGCTCATAATATATTTTTTTTATTTTTTTTATTTTTTTATAGGATCAGGGTGAAAAACGAGCACACAGTCCACCTGATGGTAAGTGGTTGCTGCGGCCCATAGACATCTACATCTCTGTTACAGATCAAAATGCAGATGCGTTTTCACCCGTGAGGACTAAGATGGAATGCCTCATTTCCAGTAAAAAGGGCCTCCGGCCACCTGCACTCACCAAGCGAAACGCAGAGGTAAACCTTTACTTCACGCTGGTATTCTGTGAGGTCGTGGTACCACCCCGGTTCGAGCCGGCCCATCCATGCGACAGCAAAAGCTGTCGCCTGGCTCTACCACTGTTAAAAAATATATTTGGTTTCTAAATTTATCACCGCTCTCTTTCACAGTTTTCTATGCTTCCTTGGCATACATCTGTTGAATAAATTACACAGAGAACTAGATAGTTATCAACTTTATTATTACTTGTTTAAAAAAAGGTACACGCCTGGTTATTGTCGCTAGATTACGATTAAACCGAAAATTTGTTGACGACAGTAACATAAGAAAATTAATTAATGTAATTCTGATCTTTGTTGCTTAATGTATCCCATTTCACATTCACATCCACATTTTCAAAATATGAAATAAAAAACTCTCAACCACCTGCCAGTTACGTTGTCCTTCATATATAAACTCACGTCCTACAAATAAACTTTTACAAAATTTGTGAATCAATAATTAAATAAACAGATAAATTGAGCTGATATATCAATTTAATCTCAATCACTAGTTTTAATACGAGTAATTATACAATTATCAATAATGGCTTGTGGCAAGTACAAATCTACTGAAAAATTAAGGTTGAGTTTTAACCTAATGTTAATTAGTAATTTAGTCGATTCAGTTGATGTTGCTGGTTGTGTTTTTCTTTTCTTTATATGTGTATACACTCTTCATAGTTGTTGCTGATCTTTATATTCATAGACGGAATTTTTCATATACCAATGTGAACTTTATTATATATCTCTTTGAATATATTTACGGTAAAAACGTTGTAACGTACAACGATGTTTTTTAAAAGCGAGTGTTTGTTACAAGTGCAAAAAGGAAAATGTTCTTCTTTATAATGATTTCTTATATTATTAGATTAAACTCTAGTAATTCATTCTGCGGAGATCGGACTAAAAGTAATAATTAAAAATCTGAAGGTACTGCGGGTTACTTCTGAAATCGGGACGACAATCACCTCAGCCCCACGTGACCATGGGTGCTGAAAAGCACCCGAAACGTCGGGAATTAAAAATAAGTATAATTAAACGCGATAAAATCAGTAAAAAAAGTTTTATTCAATGTTTTCCTTTATTTAAAAAGTAAATTATTATATATTAATATTAGAATACCCATTTTCCGTCCCATTATTGGGGACAGGCATCTTAACAGCTCTGAGAGAGTTTTTTAGAACATTTCCTGTTCCCAAAAACCTATTGGTTCTTTCAAACTCAAAATTAAGCGCCGTCCTTCTCCTGACAACAAACAAGGTTTGGAAGGCGTTAGAAACTGAAGACTTTTGTCGTATTACTTTATGACGCGAAAATGTCAAAAGAAGAAGACATTTTTTCATTTTTTTCACCAGCTTCCTTTTCTTCACCAGCCGTAAAAGTCTACTGCAAGACATGAGCCTCCCCGCTGTAGGGAGGATTTGACATAGTTGTCATACTTGGTAGGCATTTTCACGACCGCAGTACAAGATGTCTCGCATGTCGCACCTTTAAAGCTGCTGCTGGTTAATGGTATGGGTATTTTATGTCTGGCGTAACCGATATGTTTACATATATTAAGATTTATACCGCCATATATCAGAAAATATTAGATTTTTCTGGCATTACCCATATTCGCCTCTTACGATACCCTAGGGACGAAATGGAGTGGTGGATTAATTTCTCTTTATCAATTTTTAAATCGTAGAGTAGTTGCTAATCTCTTCCTTAGTTTTTTGACGTGACAACGTCTTATAATTCGATAAAGCTGGCTGCACGCACGAAAAAACATGACTCATGCGGCGTTACCTCGCTCTGAGGCGTTCCATTTAAGGCTTGAAGTGCAAGCGAGAGCGCGGAACGACCGACAAACAGGCACAATCGGCCTCCGCGTTCGGCAGCGTTCGACATCTGTCTCTCTCCTACAATAATACATTTACATGTTTTCGTCAAATATGAAGTGTAGTGAAAAGTGAATGTGGTGTCAATTGTTTATAGCAACATTTTCTTATGACGTTGTCACGTTCAACTATCGTCAGTAAACCGACTTTACAGACAACCGATATTTTTTCAACATTATTAGTGGATATCTACGTTATTTATAAATAAAATATTGCACGTCAACGGCACGCTCGGCACATGAGTAAAGAAACCGTACCGTACAGAGGCAAATCTTCATACAACCGTGCTGTGATAGGTAAACTACTACAAGCTTGAGGCGCGTGTGTGCGTGTGCACTGGCGGCTCGTTACGTACAGAGGAAACAGTTTTAAACTCAGGGTTGTGTAAAAGATAATAAGTGTCAAATTTCGTTTTTTAAACTATAATTCGTATCATATAAAAAAGTGTAAATATGATTTACTAATAACTACGTAGATTTAAATCTCATCGAGGTTGCCGCATGGGATACCGCTGATTTTGTAATTAAAAATAATAATTTGTTTGATTTATTACACTCAAGTACACTGCTATCTCTTAATAAATATAAAAGAGCTTTTCGATGTGATAGTTATCAAATTGAATTTTTAGAAGAAATGCTACCATTTTTCAGGAAAATCAATAAGAAGTGATAGGCAGAAAGACGTTACAAATAGCATGAATTTAATTCACGGATTTCAAGTATGTATAAAATCTTTAATAAAACTTCATGAAGAATTAAAATCAGAAATAATTAAATTAATTTATTAATTTTATTTATTTATGATACGTCTCAATCAAGATTGTCTCGAAAATTTCTTTGTAAAAGTCACATGCGGGTGGTAACTCCCAGTAACCAACATAAGTTTATAACTAATATCTTAAGGAAACCTCAAAATGCTAATTGTGAATACGATTTCGATATGCTACTTATGAAACCGAACGATTGTCTTGTTTTAATACACCATCACCGCAACTTGAAGATGTTGCTGCCCCTGTGTTAACAGTAGGAGCAAATGATTATCTATTTGATTTACCAGAAAAAAATGGTTTAGTCTATGTGTCGGGATATTTGTATAAAAAAATGTTGTATCAAACACCACAAATGTGAAAAAATAAAACTGTACGTTAATAGATCTGAACAACCTATAAATATGGGAAAAGATTCTTTTATTAGCCATTTGAGTTTTTTTTATAATACTTACTGACACGTTTATCGCGTTTGTTGAGCTGCTTGAGCAAAAATATTTTGACCTCGAAAGTAACATAAGTAAATATTATGTTATTTTCGAAATATAAACTCTAGCACACGTTTTAAAATATTAAAACGTAAGCTAGAGTTTATATTTGTTATGAAATGCGGGTGCTTTCCAATAGATTATTTAAAAAAAAACTTTACATTAAATTTAGAATTTAATTAAAAGCCAAAACAATTTGTTGAAGAATTTCATGATCAAGAAATCATTATAAAAGTAAAATATTTAGAATATAATATAGACGTAGTAAGTAAAAAAATATTATAATGAATAAAACTACTTTTATGGATTTTATCGCGTTTGATTATACTTATTTTTAAATTCTTGACGTTTCGGGTGCTTTTCAGCACCCATGGTCACCGACGACTGAGGTGATTGACGTCCCGATGTCAAAGTTAAGCCAGAGTACCTTCAGATTTTTCATTATTAGTTTTGGTCCAATCTACACAGAATGAACTTTACTGTGTCTTGAACTCTTGCAGTGGTATGCTTGGGTTTAGTTTTAATTTTGTTAATTACAGGATCCCAAGTAGGTGGTAGTACCCAGCCTCAATTTAAGATGTTTTTTTATTTCAATAGCCTCACGTATCATCCTTGGCAGGAATCGATGTTATTTCGCGAGAATTTGTGATCTATCAAATCTAATGTAATGGTGGGGGCCGTCTAGGATATGATCACAAACTGCAGACTTCCCGGAACGTTGGTGTTTCACGTCAGCTATGTGTCCTCTTTTACGTGGATTTCAATAGATAGTTTTGTTTGCGTTATATAAATTAAAAAAGAAACATCTTCCAAAATATAAGAACTCATTATAAAATATCATATCTTAAGTATCTATTAAAATGGTAATAAACTTTTTATTTATTTAATTTTATCCTCCTGTGCCAACCCTACCAAAATAGGTAAAAATTTTGACAGCTCCTTAGAAGTTTTGACTCTGAACAGTTTC